TAGAAAGTGTTTCCAGAGATATTTTAAAAAACTATATACCCAAGGGCCGCAAGACGAGTTGAGATTAAACAATTTTTGCCAAAAATGGATTATCTAAACTGTCACAAGAAAATAGGACAATCCTGAACTCTAAAATAACACGACAGGAGATTGAACAAGCTATTCAGAACATGCAACTCGGCAAATCTCCAGGGCCAGACGGGCTGACCTCCAAGTATTATAAGACACTAAAAGACTATTTGATACAACCCTTGATGGAGGTTAGCAATGAAATTATGGAGGGGAAGAGGGCACCCGATTCGTGGAAGGAAGCGTTTATCACATTGATACCAAAGTCAGAAGCTGAAAAGACACAACTGAAGAACTACCGTCCCATCTCCCTTTTAAATGTGGATTACAAAATATTTGCAGATATTTTGGCAAGTAGATTTAAAAAAGTTTTAAATGAAGTAATTCACAAGGACCAGGCCGGTTTTCTCCCAGGTAGACATCTGTTTGCTAACACAAGGAACATTATTGATATTTTGGAACTTCTCCAAACTGACATAAATACAAAAGCAGTTTTAATTTTTATAGATGCGGAGAAGGCCTTTGATAATATTTCTTGGAAATTTATGATGGGAAACTTAAAAGAGATGGGAGTGGGACGGGGTTTTGAGAATGGGATTGAGGCGATATATTCAGAACAGAAAGCTAAACTGATAGTTAATAATGTGGTTACAGAAGAGTTCAAAATTGAAAAAGGGACACGACAAGGCTGCCCTATCTCCCCTTTGTTATTTATTTCGGTTCTGGAAGTGCTATTGAACATGATTAGAGGGGACCAGTTGGTGGAAGGAATTCAGGTTGGTCAGAAACAATATAAACTAAAAGCTTTTGCAGATGACCTGGTTTTGACCTTGCAGAAGCCAGAGCCTAGTACGAAAAGAGTATTACAACTGATTAATGACTTTGGTCGGGTGGCGGGATTTAAATTAAATAAACAGAAAACCAAGGTTTTGGGAAAAAATTTGACTGAGACAGAGTCAGAACGGTTTCAGAATGAGACGGAACTTAATGTGGTTAAAAAAGTAAAATACCTAGGGGTAAACATAACAGCAAAAATCTAAGTCTATTTAAGGATAACTATGAAAAATGTTGGACAGAAATTAAGAGAGACTTAGACAGTTGGTCAAAATTGAAACTTTCTGTGTTAGGCCGAATTGCTGCGATTAAGATGAATGTATTGCCAAGAATGCTGTTTTTATTTCAAACACTTCAGGTTTTGGACAAAATGGAGTGCTTTCAGAAGTGGCAGAGAGACATTTCGAAGTTTGTCTGGCAGGGCAAAAGCCCAGAATTAAGTTTAAGATACTAACTGATGCAAAACAAAGAGGGGCTTTGCCCTGCCGGACTTAAAGTTGTATTACGAAGCCACAGCGTTCTGCTGGCTAAAAGATTGGCTACTTCTTGAAGACACTGATGTGTTGGATTTGGAAGGGTTTAACAATGTTTTTGGATGGCATGCATATTTATGGTATGACAAAGTTAAAGCAAATAAGGCCTTTAAGAACCATATTGTTAGAAAATCACTGTTTAATGTCTGGACAAAATATAAAGACTTGCTGGAAAATAAAACACCAAGGTGGCTTTCACCTTTGGAAGCTAAGGCCCGAAAAGACCCAATATGGAGGCCAAATGGCCAAAATATTGGGAAATACTAGAACAGATGGAGACAATTGGAAATTGCAGAGTTTGGAGAAAATGAAAGACAAAGTGCGAGATTGGTTACATTATGCTCAGATTAAAGAAGTTTTTAAAAATGATAAGAAACTAGGGTTCCAGGTGGAGAAATCGAAATTAGAAACAGAATTGTTAGAACCAAAGACTAAGATACTTTCAAGGATGTATAACTTGCTGTTGGAATGGAATACACAAGATGAAATGGTTAAATCGGCTATGATAAGGTGGGCACAGGATATTGGGCATAACATTATGTTTGAGGACTGGGAAAGGCTGTGGAGTAATGGATTGAAATTTACTGCATGTAATGCTTTGAAAGAAAATGTAATGAAAATGATTTATAGATGGTATATGACCCCAGTCAAACTCGCAAAAATTTACCACCTGTCTGATAACAAGTGCTGGAAATGTAAAGAGTGTGAAGGAACGTTCTTTCACCTCTGGTGGACCTGCCCTAAAGTGAAGGCGTTCTGGGAAATGATTTATAATGAATTGAAAAAGGTATTTAAATATACTTTCACTAAGAAACCAGAGGCTTTCCTTTTGGGTATTGTCAGCCAAGGGGTGGCAAAGAAGGACCAGACATTTTTATGTATGCAACAACAGCAGCAAGGATACTACTCGCAAAACATTGGAAAACTCAAGATCTACCCACACTGGAAGAATGGCAGATGCAACTGATAGACTATATGCAACTGGCTGAAATGACTGGCAGAATCCGTGACCTGGGAGAAGAGAGAATCGAGGAGGATTGGAAGAAATTTAAGAACTATCTACAAAAGCATTGTGATTTGACTGAATGCTGAATAAGATGCTAGACTAAATAACTGAGCACCACTTAACTTAGAAGTTTTTAAGAAAATAAGAAAAACTGTGAAAGTTTAACTCTTTATGAGAACTTTAAGATTATGAAATATCGAAGAGATATAAGAACTTAAATAAGATGATAAATTGCTGACAAAATGTTATAATGATGAAGGTGGGAGCGGGAGATGTGAGGAAGTCCAAAGAAAATGTGAAATAATGTTAAGACGAATGTTATATTGTTTATTACATTTATTCCTATTGTAAAATCCAATAAATTGCTTTAAAAAAAAAAAAAA